GTGGCACAGCAGCATGTCTACGAACTTGCAACTCTAGATACCCCAGACCACAGAGAACCCATTGTGTAGCTTTGTGCTTAAACTACAAACAAACAAATCGTCAAATTACAAAATCAACAATTAACTAATATATTAAACTCTCTGGTTAGCGTGCTGGGCTGTGGATATGTAAGTTCATCCTTCGTGTCCCGTTATCGAAAAAAACAAAAATTAATGAAATCGGGCTACGCACTTTTTGGTTAGACAAGATTAGCTCAAAAATTGGCGGTGTGTGCTGCTAAATAGCTGCCTTCTCTCTAGTTTATCAATTCAAATTTAGTGAGGGCTAGTGCAGGTGCTCTTTAGATAGTTTTACGCGGATATTTAAAAAAAAATAATCCTAGAGATCTTTAGTTCAGAATTACATTTCTTTGCATGTTTACTAACACAGATGTTTGCAATAGTTAAATATTTTAGGTGTGTTTTCACTTTTTTCTTTACTAACTCTCAAATTGTTTTATATTTTAAATAAAAACGTATTATAACATTATTTATGACGCATTGCTTTAACCGATTAAAACGAACATGAGTACTTTTATCTAGCAATGTAAGTAGGTGGTAAATGGGAACCTTTAGTGGCTTTGGCATTATAATTTATTCTGAAACATCAGCAAATTTCAGCGCCACCTTCGTCATAAAACCGACGCTCTTAACTCTAGAATATGAACCCGCATGGGTTTCTTTAAAACACTTTCTGAACTATTCGTGTGCTAAATTGTTTGTGGGTTCCTGGGTTTGTTGGTCATGGGGTTCATAATAACAAGTTTCACACACACACAACAAGGTAAACAAAAATACCATGAATAGTGAAGTTAATCCTCCTAATTATCACTGAGGTCCCTTATGTATCATAGAAAAAAATAAATGGTTTCACTCAGTGGTTTTGGTCATTCTTTGTTTTGAATGTTGTAACAGGAAAAACAAGATATTACTATTACCCTCATGTGGACCCAACCAATAGTTAAGGGTATAAAAACAAGTCGGTAATTTTAGTGTTAAGGTTGGGGCTACGCAACGGAATCTTTGAAAAGCTGTTGAACAACCTATTTGCAGGACAAACTAAATTTACTAAGTTTAAGTAAGTTCGTTTAAACAAATGTTGTATTCAGTTTTTACTGAAACATAGGCTAGTTAGCGTAAAATGGTGAAAAATATAGAGAACCATAGTTATAAAACAAAATAAACTTTAAAACTTATTGTCCAAAGCTAGCCAGGTCATCTATAGTCCCTGATTTGTCAATAGAGTCTTTAAGTTGCAAAGTCGGAAATAATAAAAAAGTAACACTGACACCATTAGTTGAGTTATTTACAAAAGTAGTTCATCAAGTTGAAAAAGAAAACAAAAAACGGAAAAAATACTGTAAAACTCGATTTGAAAAATACAAAAATAAAAAAAACTTTTGGAAAAAAAAGTTTTGAAGGGTGTCATCTTAGCAAAAGATCGATGACCTTAGTGCTTATTTGGAAGTTTTAATTTTGTGGTTAATTTTAGTATCCCGAAAACAAACTTAGCGTGAATATTTACTTTTTATTTTAAATATTTACTTCACACGTTTAAATCTACAGCTGAAATAAGGACACTTAACTCTCGGAATATCAACTTGTATTTGAACAAGTCATTGACATCACCGAGTGTACATTGACGTATTCATAGAACGTTAGGTTAAACACTTTTCTCTAGGTGTTATTGCACATGGCACCCTTCCTTCCAATATCATTAAGCCGATTTTTTTTTTCTCAGCTTTTCCTCGAGACGGCGTTATATGTTAAAGGATAATTATACAAACATATATATGTTTATGGTCGATTATATAGGTTCCTGTCTCACATAACACATAAATGAAACTAAATGTGTAAGTTTCAAGACACTTAATTATAAATTACAAAAAATGACATACTATTGGAATTAATGTTTAGTAAAAATGGTGCACTATTTGAATCTATGCTTTTATGAAACCTAGTCCTAAGTAATGACAAAAAGCCACACACACAAACACTTTAGTTTCAACCTAACCTAGTGTAACGTATGTTTGAATAACTTTAATGTTTTCATACACATGAATTCGTTAACTATAAAGGGAATGGTCAAAAAGAGATTTAGGATCACAAGCGTTACACCCAGAAAATATCATTGAAATGATGACATTTTCAGAATCATTAGCCCGGCATGGCCAGGTAGTTAGGGTGCTCGACTCGTAATCTGAGGGTCGCGGGTTCGAATCCCCGTCCCGCCAAATATGCTCGCCCTTTCAGCCGTGGGGGCGCTATAAAGTGACGGTTAATCCCACTATTCGTTGGTAAAAGAGTAGCCCAAGAGTTGGCGGTGGGTGGTAAT